TGGTTTTTGTTTTCATTTTTCGCTATTCCAGATAACCCTGTAATGAATATATATGGATTATCTTAATTCAATCTATATAGGTGGAAAAAACATACTGGAATTAATGTTGATTTCACTGTCTTCCATTTCTGCCCTTCCTACTCTCTCATTCTCAGAATCTTCATCTTCCTTCCCAAACTTGATCAGCCCATTCCCACACAAAAACATACACTCACATATTAAATATGACTTTAACTTAAGGAGACAGAATCAATTTTCAGAGATCCATAGCCAAAATGGGTACTTACAACTGTAAAACTATTTAAAAGTTCTTGGCAGATACTCTGTTTACATAAAACACTAAATCAAAGTTACGGTTTTGATCTCTAGTAACCCTATAAAGGAGTCTCTAGAGCTATTTGGGAGGAGAGGAAAAACACCTGTCACCCCATACCTGAGCAAAAGTGCACTTTACTAGCTCAAAGGCTGTGCCAACCGTGCTCACTAGCAGTCATGCACAGAAGTCTCTACTTCTCCACTGGGACACTTGCTTACTCTCTGGAAGCTTTAAGGTAAAGCTCTGAAACTGGAAGCCTGCAGGAGGAAAATTTCCATACAAAGTTTTGCTTTTCCTATGACGTTTTTAAATGTTTTAAATTAGCGATAATCATTTTAAAACATTGTATTTCTGGCTTCTCTGAGGAATTGGTAGACTTGGCTACACATGTTCCTATTCTGATATGACAACAGCTAGGAGAAGCTGTTCCACTTGGACATCTGGACACAGTCTACACCCACTTTGCCTGACCCTTGTAGACATTTGAGTCTGTAACCCTTGCTACATAGTTTAGGGCTCCAGAAGTAAATGTAGAGGAGAGGCATTCCTCATTGTTTTCAGTAATTGTCCATTACCCATTCAGACAGAAATCAGGGGCTGGCTGGTTAGCTCAGTTAGTTAGAGCACAGTGTTATAACACCAAGGTCAAGGGCTCTGATCCCCGCACAGGACAGCAGCAACAACAACAACAACAACAACAAATGCCAGAATCAGATTATACGTATTATACTGAATAATAATCCCATTACACACCATTTCAAGTCTCTAGGAGACCTCAGGTATATTGAATAATATCCTTAAGACTATCACTACAGTCCACAAAATGGCCAAAAGCTTGCATCCCATTCTCCCTCTCTTTTCAATACCCAACATCAGTGAAAATGGAATGGCTGTGCAGAAAAAAATGTTCACTCCCATAAATGAAGTTTTAGACCTTTTTCATCCTTACGTAAGCCAAAGGAAGATCATTAAAAAAAAAAAAATCCTTTGAAGAATTCCTGAATTTCCCCACCAAAAAACCTATCTACCAATACTACTATTTAGTGTTTATATTTTTATTTATTTTTTCATTTAGCATTTAATTCTCCTCTTTCTTTCTAGTTAAAAATTACTTAATCCTCCATTAAAAGTTTTGGTTATGCTATTTAAAATACTTTTTTTGTGGCTGGCTAGTACAGGCATCCAAAATTAAATACTTTATTTTTAAATAACAGCTTTAATAAGAACTTTAAACCCCATCACTCACTATCGTGACACCCTTTGGTGACATAAGAGCACATGATTTCATTCATTTTACAATAAATGAAGAGTCTGTTATTTAAAAAAAAAATGCATAGGCTGGTAAATGTGTATGCTTCTAAATGTTCTAGCACCATTTTAAGGTTAAATTAAAGGAATTTTGGAAACAGTTTAAAGCATTGCCCAAATTGTGTAGGTAAGACATGATATATACTTTTGTACTAAATAATTTTCTCATAGCTTTTCATTTCTTTCTTTTCATCACCCTCCTCTTCCTGGTCCCTCACTGTCATCACTTCTTACCACTTCCTCTTTATTCAGTGCTTGGTTCTGTGCCCACGCAATGTTTTTGCCGAGGTCTAGAGCTTCACTGTGATGAAACCAATTTACAAGCTGTTCCATCAGTTTCTTCAAATGTGACTGTAATGTAAGTAGAAAAGAATGGCTTCATCCCGACAGCCAGATAGCACCTGTAAAATTGTATCTTAGTTAAGACCATGTCATTATTAATAATGTATTTTTATTCAAAGATAATGTCATTGTTCCTGAGTCACTTATAATGATTACTGATATTTATTTTGCATTTATTAAATGCTAGACCCTACCTTAAATTATTCTATATATTAACTTATTTAATCCCTCCTTACAATTCTGTGAAGCATTTAGTATCAGCAGATTTTAGCCAGACAAAAGATGTCATCAGTTGCATATGTTACTAAAGAAAAAAGACTGCAAATTAAACTGTTACATAGACCTTTCCGATTCCATCGAATTTTTACTTGACACTTATTGAAAGAGCTCTCTTAGAATTTATTGAACATACACTTTAATACACTTTATGTACAAATAAAAAAAGAAAACAAGATAAATTGGATAAAATATTCCCAGAACTTCACATTTAAAATCTAACTCTTCTGAAGCACATTTTGACTCAGAGATGTTGACGTTGTTTTTTTCTAAGTGATTCAACTTTATGTATGTAATGAAAAATTATCCTCATAATACGTGGTAGTTTCTAGTACTTGTGGTTGTTAGTTTCTAGTACTGATTTGAATTTAACCAAACTTCAGCAACACATACAGATACATTAGGCTGAACTTTTAAAAAGAAATCAGCGGAAGATGGAGATTTTGTCAATATTTTTGCCTAGTTTTTTGGTTCATCCAGGAGTTTCAGTGTGTTGTGGCTCTGACTTTTGGGTATATGAGGACAAAATAGGAGTAATTCTTGAGTTTACAAATATTGGCAAGTCCTGCCTTTTTCAAACCAAATCACACATCATAGCAACTAAAATGCTTGACATATAAGTGAGGGAAGAGCTACGGCTCAGATTTCCTATAGATCATGGTACCATCAAATTCTCAGAATGTGGGGAGTTCATTCAATCTATAGTGGCCTGGGATATGAACTGAGAACTCTGGCGGGATAAACCATAAAAACTTGTTTTCCAAAGGAGGTCACATTTGCACCTGAACTGAGGAAAAAGATAAGCCCTTCAGCCTTCTATCCTCTCCTGTATCACCATAGCTCTTTTTCATAGTAATTAGTCCTACTAGGAAAAAATAATAATCCCCCAAAGAACTGTGAGGGCCTATGGAGAGTTTCTATTATTTAAATTTTAGCTAGAACTGCTGGGTATAAGAATTTATGAATATTTCATTCTACTTTCAGAGAAAAAATTGTTATTACCCCCACTGCTTGTATCAAATTACTAGAAAATCCAAATTAAAGAATTCCCTGATGCTGCCAATCTCATTTTTTATCTTCTCACAAGATTAGAATCCATTCTTCAACAATCCAATTAAACTTTGTAAAAGAAAGGAGCAGAGGAAGAAAGCTGGAGAAATGGAAGAGGATAAAGCAATGAGTAACTAGAGAGCGTATGCCCCACCCAAAGGGTGAATATTTTAATGGAATTAATTTTGATTCAATTAAAAAAAACTTTTCTGGCCCAATACATACATACATATGTACATATGTGCATATGTACATGCATGCAAGCATACACACATAAAGAGATGTATGCAGACCTGTGGCCCACCAGTTTTCAACCCCTGGTATAAAGAAAAAAAATGGGACCAGATCCTCATGAACTGACTGTAAGAAGATAAGGGGAAAGGAAGAGTCAAACTGACTCGAAGGTTTCTATCCTAAGTAATCGTGATCCAAGAACAAGGAAGACTTGGTGGCATTAAGTGGAGAAGATTAGGACTCCAAGATTAGATGTTTTTTCAATTTGAGATTAACAGGTCACTTAAAGGAAATTTCTGACAGGCATTTGGAGGTATAGGACTAAAGCTCAGGAGTTTATGTTGACAACATTTTATTTTATTTTTTGTTAAAAAGTATCATTCCTTCATGCTTTAGGTCAAGCCACTTGATTCTGGTTGTCCATTTATACTCTTCTCTGCAGAACACTGGCTCAGCATCATACTTCACCCCAGTCTGTTAGAAGTATTACAGGGAAATGTCAGAAATGAACTAAATCTTATATAAGTATCAAAGAAGCCAATAATCCAAGTAATGTTTATGGAAGTTGAGTTTTTTTAAAGATGTTTCACATAAGTACTAATGAATAAAACATGCAAACAGATAGATATGATTATTTGTACATTGTTCTAGCTTGCTAAACATTAACTTTGTTTGAGGGTTGACTTTAAGATCCTGTAATTTGATCACTGAAACTACATGATCCAGTAGTAAAAGAGCTTTCTTTATAAAAACTAGAGCTGGCTTTCACAATAATCATAAAAACCAGGCAGTTTCTCTCTCTTTCTTTCTCTCCCTCTCTCTCTCTCCTACACACACATGTGCACACACATACACATGCTCAAGATATGGTGTGAACTTTTGGTGAAGAGTCATACTTGAAATATCACATTTTAAAATAAAAGAATCTATTATATTAAAAAAGTATTTTGGGGGCCTGCCCCATGGCTCACTCGGGAGAGTGCGACACTGGTAGAGCCGAGGCTGCGGGTTTGGATCCTATATAGGGATGGCCTGTGCGTTCACTGGCTGAGCGTGGTGCAGACCACACCGTGCCGAGGGTTGTGATCCCCTTACCGGTCAAAAGAACAAAAACAAATAAACAAAAAAATGTATTTTGGTTTGTCCTATTCATTTAGAGTATTAACATCTACCTCTTTCCATTTCAATACAATATTATGAAAATATAGAGAATATTATTTGTAAAATAATGTTGATGTCATTCAGAAAGAAGTAGCCTATAAATCTTAGGCACTATTAATAAGAACCCAACTTTCTAAGAAATATTACTTAGGAGTGCTTAAATGAGCGTCCTTTTCCCTCTATAGTAACCCTCCCCACTTAAGAGCAATTAATCTCCTCCTCTTGGGTTCTGTCATAACCTCATTTATGCCTCATTTAAGTATATTAAACATTCTTCCCTGTACAATAGTAATTGGGGTCCTAATCTTGTCTACCTTAAAAAAGGGAATGCCAGGGCCAGCCTGGTGGTGCCCTGCTCCAGTGCGCTGCTTGGGAAGCGCGGCGGCGCTCCCGCCGAGGGGTTGGATCCCACATACCGACCGGCCGCCCACCGGCTGGGCGGGGGGCGGGAGCAACACCGAGGGTTGCGATCCCGTTGCCGGACACGAAAAAAGACAAAAAGGAAAAAAAAAAAAAGGGAATGCCAGGGCCAGCCTGGTGGTGCCCTGCTCCAGTGCGCTGCTTGGGAAGCGCGGCGGCGCTCCCGCCGAGGGGTTGGATCCCACATACCGACCGGCCGCCCACCGGCTGGGCGGGGGGCGGGAGCAACACCGAGGGTTGCGATCCCGTTGCCGGACACGAAAAAAGACAAAAAGGAAAAAAAAAAAAAGGGAATGCCAGGGCCAGCCTGGTGGTGCCCTGCTCCAGTGCGCTGCTTGGGAAGCGCGGCGGCGCTCCCGCCGAGGGGTTGGATCCCACATACCGACCGGCCGCCCACCGGCTGGGCGGGGGGCGGGAGCAACACCGAGGGTTGCGATCCCGTTGCCGGACACGAAAAAAGACAAAAAGGAAAAAAAAAAAAAGGGAATGCCATAAACTCCATAGGTCCTACACTATGCTTTTCCTGTATATCCTCCAGAATTCCTAACAGAGCATAATAATCCCTAAATAAATGTTTTTGAAATTAATTTATAAGTAAATAAATACAATACAGATAAAACAAGCTGATTGCCTTTTTAGCTCTGGGCTATACAACTGAAGTTATTATCCAAAGAAAGGTCACTATGTATAGGTAAAGTATGTTATTTGTCATCCGAATACAATATAAGCTTAAGGGCAGAGATGTCTTTTTTTCAAAGTGCAAATGGTAGGCATGCAACACGTTTGTTGAGAAAATGACTGAATGAATGAACACATTTTTAAGAGCACACTAAACTTTCATCTATATCCTTAAATCAAACCCAAATATTTAGCAATTTACACAATACAAACATTTAAACAGAATATAAAGCGGAATTTGGGATCTAAGCCAAGTGAGAATCAGTAGCAGAAAAGGGATTCTCGATTAGCTACTATAAAGAAGGAAAGAACATTCGATGACAGCCCAGCAGCTGAGTGTTATTTCAAGAGAGGGTTACCTTTGGCATTCATTAATTTAAAAAATCATTAAGTGTATAGTCTAGAGCAGTATATTTTTACTTTTTCTTTTCGTTATTGCCTCACTCCCCCCAAAAGACTTTTTAGACATTGTTTCCTATTTGTCCCCTCCTATAAAATTGTAATTCTACTCATACACTGTATGTCTGTGCTTTATACATTAAATAGTAAGGTTTTTTTCGCTCTCTAAGAACCAATTCTCACCTTCCCCTCCACCCCCACCCATTAAGAATGCACGGTCTTCTAGACTCTAGAACAGTTTTTCTCAAATGAGTTTCAAAAAATGTGTTTAGGGGAGTCTGAAAAACTATTTTTCTTTAAGAAGGATTTGCTACCAAGTTTAAGCAACACTGGTTCCAAACCTAAGCATTGTTAGTGCCCATTGTATGACTCTTAACCTGAGTTAACTTCCAGACAATTGCTCATTTATCAAGAAGTATCTGCTCTTTCATACTATATAATGTCAGTACCAATAATAGCATCATATTATTAGAAGTCATCTAGTCCAAATCCCTCCTTGCACAGTTAAAGATACTAACTTGGAAAAGTTATATGTGGCTCAAGCAAGGGACCCCCAGCTACATTGATTCTGGTCTTTTGCTTTTTTAATTTATTTTTTTTTTCTACTGCACTACGTTCTTTTTCTAAGAAAATTAAAGGTTTGTGACCTTTCCAATACAAGCACAGTTATGTGGATCTGGTCTCTGTCAAACTGCTTATAAAACTGTGATACAAGAGAAAATCTTTCTATGCAACTTATTGGAAATTGAAATGGTATCACTTATTGAATAAAGATGATTCAGCTTTACATACAAATTAGCAGAGTCTTTCATAACTAATTTTAAGGTGGTGGAATTGAGCAATGAAAAACTGAGGAATATAAAGCTATTCAAGTTCTTGAGTGTGTTTTAAACAGAAAACANGCATTCTAATGTTTGTTAAATAAAAATAGAAAAGAACATAACTGAAAATCAATTTCTCCCAGTTTTATTATTTTTTAAAATTTTTATCAGAATTACAATGTTGTAAACTAAGTTTAAGAAAAGATTAGTATCTTTAATAATACGAAATCAAGTTAGACCTAGTTCAAATATTTTATGAGTATGAGAGTGGTGTCGTGAAGTAAAATGTTTCCGAAAGCTAGTACAAAAGTAAATATAGTTTATAATCATTCATATTGCTATAGTTTAAAAGTAAAGGAAAAAAACTTTAATAAACAAAATTTACATTTATTTCAGGTCACTTCAGTGGAACTTAATAAGAAAACTTCCTCCTGATGGCTTTAAAAAGTACCATGATCTTCAGAAGCTGTAAGAAAAAATTTAATTCCTGATATTAAAATTAACTAGCATTTTTTCTGGCATATCTGTTTCTTCCCATTTCTGTGGAGACTAACTCTATACCTTTGCTTAAGTCTAACCCCTCTTTAGACAATTATTTAGCTGTTAGCTAGAGGCTTCCAGGTAAAANAAAATTTTTTTCTGAATAGTTCTAGAAGCCATTCTAGAAAGATCACGGATACCTGTCCCCAAAGAAACTGGAGCATGTGTGCTGTGAATTCTCCTACCACACTCTCCCAAAATGGAAATACTCAGGATCTTTTACTCTCTGCATTATTCTATCATATATCACCTCGATGCCCATCTTAGAGAAAGATGTAATGATCTTTTGCCATATCTGCCATCAGGATTGGATAGAGAATAATTATCTTGCAAATGTTTGTAAATTCAGTCTCTACATAAGATAGCAAGTCTTTGTCGTTTGAAACCTCTGAGCATGTTGTTTTGGGGACCTGATTCCATTTTCACATCTGCCTTGTAGGTTGAGTTTTATTTTGGCTTCAAGCAGTATCTGACATGCTAGCTTCTCATCAGTTTAGGGTCATGTACGTACTCTCAAAATCCACAGTGACCTAGCTGATGTCTACCTGTTGTTTAGGTCAACTTTGCGACTAAATCATATTGTGATATGTTTGAATTGTTGGGTTCAGATACTCTGTGCCATAATCACACTATCTAGAAAACATCTCAGAATTCCTTGTTTCATTTTCATACCAGTATTGGTTTTAATTTCGGTTTGACAGTAGAGAAATCTGGCTCATACATACATATCTATACTTTTTTTAGGGTAATAAATGGAAATAGAGCAGAAGCAGGTGAAAAATTAACCCACTTCATTTAATGAAATGTTCTGAAAACCCAGATAATCTGCAGGCCAATATATTTCATATTTGAAAATTAAAATTCTAATGAAAATAACTTTTCAGAACTTCATTCTGAATATTAATCAATCAGCAGAGAAGAACTTTCCAAAATTAGGCCTGATACAAAAACTTCAAGAGGATCTTTCCTTATTTTATTTTCTGATTTCTGTAGCGTGAAGAATTTTTCTGATCTGTAGCACCACCTTATGTTCACATGTTTAAACAGAGTTAGACTGTAAATCTAAATATCAAAAA